TTACTACAACAAGAGAGGAAATAGGAAGAAGTAGCTGGTGAGAAGCAGAGTTTCCCGTGACAGATAAAATATGGAAACACCAAGGCCAGAGGGGAACACAACTTCATAGAGACTTTTATCTGGTTGCTGCATTACCCGATTTTTATGACAGATGAAAAAGTTGAAAAAGTTATTTTTCATCTGCCTACACCCAGTTGGACTGGTAAATGTCGAGGAGGAGACAATGACCCTGAGGGCAAAGGGAACAGAAGCAAATAACAGAGTTCAGGCACCTCTGAGCACGATGGAAAGGATTACGGGAATCATCCTCAGAGAGAGAGAAGGAGCTCATTTTATTTTGCCAGAGGTAAGGTATGTGAGGGTTCTTAAGGTTACCTGTGGGAAGTGTTGATTGGTCAGCACCTAATTATCCTACAGGCAGGAGGAAAGGAGGGGGTTTTGTGCTGAGTCATAGTCATTCTCCAAATGAGTTCAGCCATCTGAGGTTAGAGACACTCTTCAAATAAGGTTAGGCAGAGAAGGGGAGTTCTGCTGAGAAAGAAAGGGAGGCCTCCTTTTTGCACTGAGCTCAGAGAACTTTCAGGATGTGTTGAACTGCAACCTTAAATGCAGGCTTCTCCAACAGGGCAGCTCCCCTCCCCATGGAGCTGTTCCAGTACAACCATGTGATAGGGAGCATCCTGCCTGCAAAGGCCACACCCTGTGTTACCTGGCCCTTGAGATAGGCTCTGCAGATCTACCCATAAGACCAGTTGCAGCCTCCAGAAGGAGATGCCATGATGTTCACTTTCACAGCCCTGCTCTGTCTGGGTGAGATGTGAAGATGGAGAGGGAACACTGGGTATTAGGAATGACCCTATCCCACAACCTAAAAGCTTCTCTTTACAGGAGACAGAGACTTATTTTATTTGACTAATATTGTTTATGCATAAATTTCAGTTTATATGTGAAATATTATATTGAATTTGAACTCTACCTCTAGAATAGAAACTTTAAAAAATTTAAATATGGTTATCCTGCCTCCATCCAGTTTCCTCCATATAATCATTCTCATATTTCTCTCCAACCTCTCCCTCTCTAATTCCTATCCTTTTCTTTAAATGTTTTATGTGTATGCATATATAAACAAATGCAACCTGCTGAATTCATTTAGTGTTGTTCGTACATGATTTCAGACCTCGGCATTTGGTATTGAATGAGGAACCAGAGGCTACGCCTGGTGAACATTGATTTTCCCTCCCTCAGCATTCCTTAGTTGCCTATTGTCTTTTCTCTAGGTATGGAGCCCTGTGCAATTTCCTCCTTACATGTTAGCATGTCTACTGGTGTTGCCCCTTGTTCAGGTCTTGTTCAGGCAGGTATGTTGTGGAGGTGTCTTTGGTATACTTTTCTGTTATTTCTCAGAGATACACTCTCACAGAAGGTATCCAGGTCTTAGGGCACTTACAATCCTGCCTCCTTTTCTGCAATGTTCCCTCAGCCTTAGGTGTAGGAGTTGCATTGCAGATGAATCAGCTGGGTCTGGGCACCCCAAGTCAGTTGTTCTCTGACCAGTTGAAAGTTTTCTGTAACAGTCTCTGTCTCCTGTAAAGAGAAGCTTTTATAATGAGGGGTGAGAATTACACTTACCTGTTGATTTGACCAGAGTTTTAAAATTAAAACCAAGAAAAATAAAGCATATTGTCGGCACAATTTAGTAGGTTCAGAGGGAATATCTTTTCTTGCAGTTGTAAGACAATGATTATCTTGTAGAATGGTAATATATTTGCCTGAAAAAATTACACAAAAAAACCCACTCTGCATAGGGCAACCAATAATGGAGCTCATGCCTGAGAGAAACTAATTCTATTTCTTCTATCGGGCATTCATTGTCTGTAGTTCTCTGTCTAAATATAAGACCCCATGAAAGTTTCTTCCTTCCACATTAATATTTTCACTGATACTGCATTGTCTGGTCTTATTTATCTCTTCAGCCATTTCTAGGAGAAGCTGTTTCACTGGAGGCTTCCTGGTACATTCTTATTCTTACACTGTATATGTATCTGCTTCTGTGATGTTCCCTGGGCCATAGATGAAGGAATTGTGATGCAGATATATCTGCTGAGATTGGGCCCTTTGTGAACTGTGAGGGAGACTCATTGTATTCAGTTTTGCACCCTCCAGTGAGCCCACCATATTCCTAGAGTTCTACTCACATAGTCATATAGAGAACCTTGCTCAAAATCAGTGGGAAATAACAAAACAAATAGACACGGATGAGGGAATGGATTTATAGTGATGAGATGGGAGTTGCTGTGGATAGTAGGGAGATAAGAGAGGGTAGGATAGGGACAATCAGATTGTGTTATATACATATAAGACATTGTCAAAAAACACATACATTTAAGAAAAAAGTCAGTAACTTAGAAGGTTGAATTTGCTCTGAAAAAAGTTTTCTGAATAGATCTAACATCTTGGTTTCAGTCAAGTTCTTGAAAAGAACCTCATTGTTTCACAGTTTCACATGACTTTGAAGTCCATGTGATAATGTTTAGTAGGTCGAGCTATGAGGAAGTAGATTTGTTCTGAAAATGATATTCCCTAGAGACAAAATTTATGCTTCCATATGAATATCAATAATAATTGATGCCCTATCTAAAACAAATAGGAAATATAAATGTGGCCAAGATCCTGGCATGTTCCTGTGTTGCTATTAAAACTCATGCAAACTCTAGGCTAATAGAAAAAATTCATAGAGAAGACTGTCTCCTCCCTATACACCCAGCCTGACCTCTTTTTTTTTTTTTTTTTTTTTAGTAAGCCCCAGTGGATTCTATAAATTCCCATTGTGGTTAACTGCACGTGTGCTTTTTATCACGTACTGTTCACAGTTTCCACATCTAGTTCTTAGTTCCTTGAGAGGTTATTAATCCCCCAAGAGGAGTGCGAACAGCTTTTGGGGAAAGTTTAAGAGCTTCATATTTCAACTTAGAGAAGTTAAACTTCCACACACTCCAAGTCATGATCCTCTAGCCAGGGTTACAACCTGCCACCCATGGAAATTGTGTTACTAATGCCCACCAATCTTAGCTCAACCACTGTTTGAGTGGTCCAAACCTGAGACAAGATAGGCTATGGATCTATGCACTATTCCTAGCTGAATGTCTTGCTCAGGTCTTATCAGAGACGTTTCCTCCTACAACAGATGGTAGCTAATACAGAGACCCACATCTGAACAATGTACAGGAAGAGACTTTGGAACACTGAATCCTTAATGGGGTATCTGCATTAAATCCCTCCACTCTGGGCCCAGGACTGTGAGGAAGAGAGTTTGGAGGGATTATAAGAGCCAGAGTAGATGGATGAGATGATGGAAAAATGTCTTCCAGACAGAACAGGCTGATACAAACATGGACTCAAAGAGAATATAACAGCATGTACAGGGCCAGCAAAGGTCTAACCTGGATAGTGTTCCAGTGCTGAGGGGATGAGGAAATGTGACCATCCCGAACTCAGAAGCTGTCTCCAATTGATAAATAGTTGCAAAAAAATTAGAATTTTTTCAACAAAGTCACACTGATATACAAACCATACTTAAGGGCAGGCCACATGCCCAGCAGTGGAAGGCCAACACAAAATGAACTCAGTGATATTTTTGGAGGTTTTTTAATTCATAATGCTTGTCTTGATATTTTCTAAATTTATTCTTCTCTCATATATTACACCCTATTCTCAGTTTTCCCTCCCTCCTCTCCTCCCCGTCCTCCCTCAAACCCCTAAATCCCAGATCCATTCTTCCTCCATTATCTTCAGAAAAAAGTAGGCCTCTCAGGGATATCAAGTTAAAATAAAACTAGGCACATCCCTCAATTTAAGAGTGAAGAAGACAACCCAGTAGGAGTAAAAGGTTCCCCAAAGCAGGCAAAATAATCAGAAACAACACCTGACCCCACTATTAGTAATCCTACAGGAATCCCAAGCTACACAAACATAATATGTATGCAGAGTACATAGGTCAGATCAATACAAATTCCCTGATAGTTTGTTCAGTCTCTGTGATCCCCTAAGGGCCCTGCTTAGTTGATTCTGTGAGCCATTTTCTTGTGGGGTCATAACCATTCTGGCTCATACACTCCTTCCTTGGACTCATCTGCTGGTTCCTCAGAACTCCACCTATGATTTGTTGTGGGATTCTGTTTCTGCTCATATCAATTGATGGTTGAAACCTCTCTGATGATGATTGTGTTAGACACCAGTCTGCTAACAGAAGATGTCTGGTTTAGGTTCAGTACACTCCATTACAAGGAGAGTTTGTGGGGGTCATCCTCATGGATTCCTGGGAGTTTCTATGGCACTGGGTTTCTACCTCATCCCTCAAATATCCCAAATTCCAGTCACCTCTTCTAGTACTGTCTCCATCCATTCCCCACGTAATTCCTCTTGATCCCATCCCCACTTGTCCCTAGTACATCTGTGAAATCTATTCTACTTCCCCTTCTCAGGGAAATTTATGTGTCACCCATGGTCCCTCCTTGTTACATAGAATCCCTGGGTCTGTGGATTGTGGCATGGATATCGTTTAGTTTACAGGAATAATCACTTACAAGTGAGTCTATATTGTGTTTGTCTTTCTGTACCTAGGTTACCTCACTCAGGATGAATTTTTTTTAGTTCTATCCACTTGCCTGGAAATTTCATGGTGCCATCCCTTTTAACAACTGAGTAATAATTCATTGTGTAAATGTACGACATTTCCTTTATCCAGTAACTGATGGAAGCAGATGCAGAGATCCATAGCCAAGCAAAAGGCTGAGCTCCAGGAGTCCAGTCAAAGAGAGGGAAGAGGGGTACTATGAGCAAGGGGCATCAAGATCATGATAGGGAAACCTACAGAGATAACTGAACCAAGCTAATAGTAACTCATGAACTTTAGATCAACAGCTATGGAGCCTCCTCTGGACTGGACTAGGCCCTCTGCATAAGTGAGACAGTTGTGTAGCTTGATATACTTAAGGGGCGCCATGACAGTAGGATCAGCATCCATTCCTGGTGCCCGCACTGCCTTTTTGGAGCTAATTACCTATGGTGGGACACCTTACACAGCCTTGATTCTGGAGGAGGGGATTTTACCTGCCTCAACTGAATGTACCAGGCTCTGCTGACTCCCCAAGGCCTTACCATTTTGGAGGAGGGAATGGGGCATGAGCTGGGAGAGTGAACCTGAGGGAGAGATGAGAGGAGAGAAGAGAAAGGAATCTGTAATTTGCATGGAAAAATGTATAAAAATTTCTTAATAAAAATTTTTTAAAAATCATTACCTTTGAGGTTGAACTCAGTAGTACACTGAGAATCTCAAGGCTGAGATTTAGGACCAAGAAAGCATCTCCCTTGACCAGAAGCTGCAGATATTGCCAGCAGCGGATAGAGAGTGGCCTCACCTCGCATACTACAACTTACAGGAGTCTACCATGCACCTGGTGCTGTGGCTGTGTGGTGGCATCTGATAGCCATCCCTTCACCAGCCTAACCAAGAATAAAACTGAGACAAGAAGATGAAGTGCTACTCACAAGTACTGCCAACTCCTGCACCAATGTATGGCTAACAATGAAAAGAAAGTGTCCACACCAACACCCTGCGCCCTAAGAGAGTCAAATAATATACATCCCTGTTTGGTCCAAGATCCCAGTCACCATACAAACTTTCTGACCAAAGGAAAAGGACAAAGGAAAGTGAATAGGTAAGTGTTGGGCCTGTTGGATGGCTCAGTGTATAGATGCCTGCGGACAACATTAAGGTCTGACTCCTATTCACAGGATCCATATTATACAAGGAGAAAACTGACCACTGAATTTTTTCTCTGAACTTTTTGCCTGATCTGTGGCATATACACATGAGCGCACACAAACACACACACACACACACACACACACACACACACACACACACACACACTCACGAACACCACTTAAAAAAGGAGTAACTAGAAAAATTAACAAATGCAATTTAAAAGTTGTACTGGCAAGTACCATCCGAAAAAAGAGCTAACAACAAGAAAGAGAGGTGCACATTTGTGACCCAGCCCTTGAGACCAGGAGGAAGAAGATTGTGCATTCCATTCCATGCAAGTATACACATTGAGACCCTTCTAAGAGACTTTAAAAAATGTTGAAAAGGAGGAAGTATTTCAACTAAAAATGTGAGAAGCAACAAGGCAAAACCACATTTAAATTTGTAAGTATTATTTGAAATATTCACACCTGATGGCTACAGTATGGACCTGAGGGTGATGAGGAAGATGCAGCCGACATTGACAGGGTTGTAGGAATGTTCTCTATGTAAGAGCTGATTGCAGAGGGTCTAGCTCCTGGCCTAGACACAGCACTGCGGAAGTAAAAACTTTGTGTGTGAGGAGTAAGGCTCCCTTATTGCCGGACCAATGAAGTACAACTATGTCATCAGGAGTGCCTGCCTCCAGAAGCCACACTAGTTTCCTGTCCCCCTAGGCAGACTCTGTAGCTCTGCCCATGAGCACAGTTGCAGCCTCCAGGAGCAGATGTAATGATGTTCACCTTCAGAGCTCTGCTGTGCCTGGGTGAGCTGTGAAGATGGGGAGGTGATACAGTGACCTAGGAATGAACCTGTCCCACAGCCTAGCACGGGCCCATCAGGAAAACCCAGGGTCTCAGGAGGTTCTGTGGAGGGGAGGACCTGCTCCATGTTCAGGGCCAAAATTCTCACCGGGATCTCTCTTTCAGGACTGACTCTGTGCCCTGGGACCACAACGCTGACTGGTGAGTATGCAGCTGTCCTGATATGTTATACCTCTATTACCCAGGAGACATGCCTGGGCAATGAGGATAAAACAGGACCTTTGTGCTGATCCTGGGTTTGGATGAACTATGATGTGCTTGATACTTTCAATCTGAGAAAGGATATCTTGGGTCCTAGCTTCTCTTTTCCTTGCAGGGACCCTCCCTAAGCCTGTACTCAGAGCACAGCCAGACCTCGTGGTCTCCAAACAGACTAATGTGACCTTCTTGTGTGAGGGTACAACAGGAGCCAAAGAGTACTCTATCTACAAAGACGGAAGTCAATATACACGGTTCACACAGATTCTCCTAAAGTCTGGGAACAAGGCTGAATTCTCCATCACAAAAACTGAGCAGCACCACGCAGGGAGATATCAATGTCGCTATCGGACCCATGATGGATGGTCTGAGTACAGTGAGTCCTTGGAGCTTGTGGTGACAGGTGAGAGGAAAAAACTTTTGTCATCTTTGGGCTTCACTCTCCAGAAGTGAGTCTGCTCTCAGGGATGCCCTCACTCCTCACAGTCCTGTAGGATAATGAGGCCTGATACATTAATCTGATTCTAGCATCTCTCTTAGGAGCACACAGTAAACCCAGCCTGTCAGCCCAGCCCAGCCCTGTGGTGACTGAAGGAGGGAAGGTCACCCTCCAATGTGACTCATGGGAGGAATATGACAGGTTCATTCTGACTAAGGAAGGACCACAGAAGCTCTCCTGGATGCTGGGCTCACAGTATAATTCCTCAACTGGACAATTCCAGGCTCTATTCTCTGTGGGCCCTGTGATCTCCAGTCAAAGATGGATATTCCAATGCTACAGCAATGACCTGAACAGACCACAGGTGTGGTCAGAACCTAGTGATCCCCTGGAGCTCCTGCTCTCAGGTAAGGAATCCAAACCTTTCCACAGAGTGATGTTGAAATAATGGAAGTGTGGAGGGAGGCCTTGGTGTGTGGTGTATGTGAGGAGACAGGGCTCTTCAGTCCATTGATGCAGATCAGGGGAGACAGAAGGACCAGAGATACAGATTCCAAGCAGAAAGTGATAGAAAAACCCAGGAGGTCCAGGAGAGAGTTTAATATTCATGGAGCTTTCTGATTCTTTGTATCAACTTAATTGCCATCTACACGTGGGACCTTCTCTGTGCCACTTTCAACCAGAACCACCTCCTTCTCTCCTACTTCCTTACAGGTAACCTCCACAAACCCACCATCAAGGCTGAGCCAGGCTCTGTGATTGCCTCCAGGAGTGCCGTGACCATCTGGTGTCAGGGGAGCCTAGATGCAGAAATATATGTTCTGCATAAAGAGGGAAGCCCAGAATCCTGGGGCACACAGACCCCAGAGAAGCCTGAGAACAAGGCCAAGTTCTCCATCCCTTCTGTGACACAGCAACATGGGGGACAATATCGCTGTTACTGTTACAGCTCAGCTGGCTGGTCAGAGCGCAGTGACCCCCTGGAACTTGTGGTGACAGGTGAGGGTCTCGGGACCAGGCTCTGCTTTCAGAAGTATTCCCTTCCAAAGCCTAGCCCTGGAGGACATTTTGGTTGAGTGAGCCCATGTAAAAGGCTATCTCCTTCTCTCCTAGGAATCTACAGAAATAAACCGATCCTGTCAGCCCTGCCTGGCAATGTGGCAACCACAGGAGGAAACATGACTCTCCAGTGTGTTTCATTGAGGACATATGACAAGTTCATTCTCTCCAAGGAAGATGAGAAGTTCTCCAGCTCCCTGGACTCACAGTATATACGCCATAATGGGTACTACCAAGCCATGTTCTCTATGGGTCCTGTGACCCCAGTACACAGAGGAACATTCAGATGTTATGGCTACTACAAGGATACCCCACAGTTCTGGTCAGTACCCAGTGACCCTCTGGAAATACACTTCTCAGGTGAGCCATCCCCATCCTTGACCAGTCTTGTTGAGAGCCTAAGTCTTTGGCAGGACACTGTCCCCCTGGAAAGTTGCTGTTGGAGAGGGACTAAAGGAAGATTCTGTTTTCTAAGCCAGAGCCCCATAGCTGGAGAGAAGCATTGGCTTGTGCAGAGCAGGAAGATAGCTGATAGGAGTTTGGTAAAAAGTTGCTCCTCAGTCCTTTGCCTGTCACCTTTCCTCTAGGGCTGTCCAAGAAACCCTCCCTTTTAAGTCACCAAGGCCATATCCTGGACCCTGGAAAGAGTCTCACATTGCAGTGTTGCTCAGACATCAACTATGATAGATTTCTTCTGTACAAGGTGGGCACAACTAACTTCACCCAGCATCATCACAAATGGACCGAGGCTGGTCTCTCCTTGGCCAACTTCACACTGGGCTCTGTGAACAGCTCTACTGGAGGCCAATACAGATGCTATGGTGCACACAACCTCTCCTCTGAGTGGTCAGCCTCCAGTGACACCTTGGACATTCTGATCTCAGGTGAGCAACCAAGGAGATTTGATCAGGTAACATCCTCTGCATAGAATTTCATGGGAATCCTAAGAGGCGATGGCTGAGACAAGGGACAAAGAAATGATGCAGGAACTGATGAAGAGACAGGACAGTAGGAGAGGAGCTCAGTCAGAGAAAAGAGAGAGAATCCCTGGTACTTAGGGGATACCCATGTATGGTTTCAGCTCAGAACAATGAAGACAGCCTCTCATCATTCCTCTTCTCTTTAGGACAGCTTTTCTTCCCTGCTTTCCTCTCAGTGAAGCCTAACTCAACAGTACATCCAGGAGACAACGTGACCCTTCTGTGTTGGTCAAGAGAAAGAGTGAACACTTTCATTCTGTACAAGGAGGAGGCAGTCCATCAAACCCAGCGACTAAAATCAAAGGTCCAAGATCAGCACTTCCAGGCAGAATTCTCCATGAGTGCTGTGACCTCTGCCCTTTCAGGAAGCTACAGGTGCTATGGTTCTCAAAAATCATCACCATACCTGTTGTCATATGCCAGTGCCCCCGTGGAGCTCATTGTCTCAGGTGAGGTGGCCCTGAGCTGTCAGGCTGACTCACAATTCAAACCTTAAGCGAGCTCTTGACTTGGCAGACAGTAGGAAGGGTTAGTCAGAAGGCAATTTCCCTAGTAGAAAAGTGGATGCCAGTGATGGCCTATCAAGTAATGTCCACTCCATCCTCTATTGCAATCTAGGTTAGGGATAGACAGCATGAGAATCATGGGGAGGTTCCAAGACAGATGTGCGACAAGGAGAGAAGAGTTAGGACTCCTGGGTTAGCATCTAACCATCATCTATTTGTTGTTCTGTTTCCTAGGACCCATTGGAGCCTCCAGCCCACCACCCTCAAGGCCCATGACAACAGCTGGTAAGTATCAGGGACCTCAGTGCAGGGAGTATGCTCCATCCCCAGGCTGCCTCACAGCTCACCCCAATGAAGTCTTCATTCTCTCTCATTTCAACTTTTGAGTTTGGGAGTCAAGCAGAAATCCCAACTGAAACTCCAGAAAAACAAGATTAAGTTTAGGCTACAAAAGGTGGCACCCAGAGAGAAAAGATTAGTCTCAGACTAGAGATTGAGGGGAGAGGATGAGGTGGAGAGCAGGGAACCCATACATTCACCTCCCCATCCGTCATAAAGACTCTGAGAATAAACCACTCACCTGCATGGAGTCATGTTCCAGAAAACTAAATATTCTATTGGAATGTGGGATCCAGATTGGGAATAGCTGGTTATAGGCTTGAAACAGCTGTTTCTTGAGATGCTGACTTGGCCAAGCCCTTCCTTTCTGGGATGGCTGCTGTTTCTTTGATTATAAAGGTGAGAATCCTGGCCCATATGTCTAAGTTTCTGTCTGCTTTGGTCTGTCTTCCTGTACTGATGTCTTTCCTGATAGAGGAGGACTCCAGAACCAGATTCTGCATTGGGGCTGTCCCACAGTGGTGGTGACATGTGCAAGTGTGGGGCACAAGGTCATGGTAGGGCATTCCAGCTCCTCCTTCCCAACTTGTGATCCTCAGCTCTGGTGTGTTGAACATGGCTGGACATCAGAGTCCCTGTGTTCAACTCCCAGCTCTTCCTCTTCCAGTCAGGTGATCTCAGGCAGGTGAACGGGCTGGACAGGAAAACAGACAATTCCTGTGGCACGATTGTGAGGAGGGGAGATGGTGTTTGCAAAGGTACAGCATGGGCCTGGCACACTGTGGGTGCTCAGATAAGCAGCAAGCATCCGCTCTTATGATGTCTCCTATGCCTCAGGTTTGGAAAAATACCTCCAGGCTCTGATTGGAGCATCTGTGGCCTTCCTCCTGTTGCTCTTCATCCTCATCTTCCTCCTCAGGCAAAGGAAACAGGGCAAATGCAGGAAGGAAGGTGAGTAGGGTGTGGGTTTCTGGGGTCTCAGATGGTGGTAGGCTCCCCTGTGGGCCATCTAAGAAGGGAATCAGAACACTAGCACTAGGGACACCTCTAATAGGGGAACAGTAGCTTAGAAACACAGATCTCAGATAACAAAACACGGGCTCTCAGAACCTGTGAGATTTGGGTGTTCTGTGAGCATTACCATGTCCTGGGACATTTGCTAACTCATGCCTGTGTTATGAAGCTCTTTTCCTTCTTTACATGGAAATATGCATGGGAGTGTAGCTTACTACCCTCCTAGATCAGACCCTTCTTTCTCTTTCAGCCCAGAAAGAGACAGAATTGCAACTTCCTGCAGGAGCTGCAGAGCCAGTAAACAGGAACAGAGGTCCCCAGAATAGGTAACTCATGGCACGAGACATCGTCCCCTACCTTCCTGACACACCTCACTGCCAACTGACATCTTCTTGTCTTTCCAGATCCAACTCAGCTGCTGACACCCAGGAAGAAAACCTTTGTGAGATAAAGAGGGTCCTGAGGAGGGAGATGTCTGAGGACTCAGCGTTTCAGGGGTGGTGGAGAGGCTCTGGGGTCTTTGCTAATTGGGCTTGAACTTCACACTATGAACTAAGGGATATCATAACATGCCCTGTTCCCTGGTCCCACCTGGGGCATGCAGGAAACCAGGGGTCTGAGATAGCCCTAGACTCTTCTCTGAAGACATTCTTTTGTTCTTCTATGACAGATGCTTCAGTGGAGAAAATGCAGCCTGAGCATGGTGTGGAGCTGGACAGTTGGGTGAGGTCCCTGTCTCTATTGGCAGTGCTAAGGACTTAGGTCCCAGATTAGTCCAGGAGTCCTTATTTGTTCTTCCTCTCTGAGCCCTCAGCAACACCCAGAGGTGACCACTCCCTTCTGCAAGCAACATCTGCCTCCTGTGTGCTCTGGCCTCACTCACCCTTGGTTTCCTGGGACCATCTGCTTCCTCCCTCATGTCACCTCTTTGGCTTCTCAGCATCAGTCTGGTTGTTAATATGCACCTAAGAAATCAGAGGTTACAGGACTAAGTAATCCAGATCCTCCCAATACCCCTATTCACTGACACAGCTTCACAAGAAAGCCCCTCCTTATCAGCTCACTACATGGATATGAGTTAGAGAACAGAGCACACTCCCTCATCACCATGAATCAACATGGTAATAAATGCAGAGTGTGTGCAGTGCCAAGTGTTTGGGAAAACCAAGCAGAAGAAGTGGGTGGAGTATGTGGGAACAGAGGTCCAGTGTGAAGTACAAGGGAGGACTCTGAAAAGTGTCATCTGAGGAGGAAACCCACATGGACAAGTCCACAGAGACAGTTAAGGGGCCAGCAACTGTAGGCAGGGGACTCGGCAGGACAAAGGAAATTGGGGAGAATCACTTCATTTTATAGTTCATTTCGTGTGTATGGGTGTTTGGCGTTCATGCATTTCTGTATATCACCTGTCTCCCTGGTGCTGCAGAGGTCAGAAAAGCATGTCACATTCCTAGAACTGGAATCACAAATGATTGCAGAGTACCATGTGGGTTGTGGGAACCTGGGTGCTCTGCAAGTGCAGCCAGTGATGGTAACAACTGAGCTAGCCATCTTCCCCACCCCCAGAAACATTAGTTTTTAGAAGTTGGATTGTGTGGCTGGAGGCAAGACAGCAAGGGTTAGAGTGTCAGGATTAGAGGCCGGAGCTGTAGGAAGGAAGCCTAAACAGCTCAGTCTGGCCATGCTGTGAAGACCTGACCAGAGGAGATCCCAAGGGGAACAGGGATACACTATCTGTACCTCACTACTTCTGTTCTACAGAGACCAACTGAGGCAGGCCCCTTGGGTGATATACATGCCAAGGTGAAACCCTCCAGGCTCAGGAGGGCAGGAGCTGTCCTACCTTCTGTCATGTTAGGAGAAGTCCTGGACACAAAAGATGGACAAGCAGAAAAGGACAGAGTGATGGACACTCAGGCGGGTCCTGTTCCTCCCTAGTCCTCCTTGTTCCCCCAAGACATGTATTTCCTCTCACTCTCTCCCACTGCAGGCTGCACAATCTGAAGAGCCCCAGGAAGTGACCAATGCCCAGCTGTGCAACATGAAGCTCAGACAGGAGACAGCTGCACCCCCTCCCTCGCAGGCAGGGAATGTCCCAGAGGAGCCAGTCTATATACTGGTTTTGCAGTAACTAACCCAGAGACCATTCGAAAGAACAGAAAGTAATGACCCTCTGCCTGCAAGGATGCTTAACGGAGACCTCTAAGGGATTCTTGGAATTTTTGGGAAAACATCTGCATTTTGACTAACGTTTCATATTTTGGAAATAAAGCAGGAGATTTCTCAATTATTAATTGAAATCAAATTAAATAGGAGGGGAGCTCTTATATTAACTACTAATTTTAATGACATTACTCGTCAATGCAATGAAACAGGAAATCTTACCCACACAGTTGCAGAGACCTGTAATCCAAACCCAAGGGAGGCTGAAGCAGGAGAATTACCTTTGTTTAGTGGCCATCTTGTGATAACTAGTGAATTTCATGTTAGCCTAGAGTCCAGACTGGGACATGCTTCAAACATTAGCCTCCAAAGGCCGAGTGTGGTGGTATACACCCCAAATCCTAGCACTTTGGAGGTGTTGACAGGAGGACCATCAGGTCAATATAATTAATCTTCAGCTACATACCATAGGACTAAGAGGCCAGGTGGGAACACACTAACCCTTGTGTTAAAGTAAATAAACAGGGATGGCTTGGTGGCCAATGCCTTTCATCTAAGCACTTAGCAGGTAGAGACTGCATAATTTTAATGTCTGAGGCCAACCTGGACTACAAAGTAAGCTCCACAAAAGCCAGGACGAGATACAGAAACCCTGTCTCAAAAAATAAATAAACAAGGGTCAATAAGATATCTCAGTAGGTAAAGCCACTTGCTACCAAGGCTGATTTCTTATGTTTAATCAGCAGGAAACACATAGTGGAAAGAAAAACACTGACTCTCATGAGTGATTCTGGATCTCCACATAACTTCTGGTATGCTACCCACATCCAGTAAATAAATAAAGTAATAAAAACCTAAGAAATAACTATGAATAAAATCTGTATATGTTGGTACAAACTCTCAACAATTCTGATCACAAAATAGAAAATACAGTATATACATTGGTTCCAGAATAATAGGTTGAGAGGCAATAGCTTTTCCTGTAGTAGTAAGATGATGACTAGCTTGTCCAATGGCATTGCATTCATCTGAAAAATTCCAGAGGGACATTCTTCGAGAAACTAATTCTCCTTCTTCTAGTGGTCATTAGTTGACAGTAGTTCCCTGTCTAAGCATGGGACACCATGAAAAGTTTCCTCTTCCATATTAATATGTTCTTTGATACTGCATTGTTCTGATCTTGTTCATTTCTAGAAAAACAATCAAGCCCTTTCTGGGAGAAATTATTTCACTGGTGATATCCTGATGTTTTGGCTCTTACATTCTTTCTGTCCCCTCTTTTGTGATGTCCCTTGTGTCATAGAATCAGGAGCTGTGATGTAGCTGTACCTGATGGGGCTGGAATCCCCATAATCTGTTGATCTCTGAATTGTGTCCCAGTGAGGATTTTTGTGATAATCTCCAGTTGCTGTAAAGATAGACTTTCTAGATGTGGTATTGATACTCTGAAATGATATAGACATAAACAACAAAAGAGAACTGATTCATCAGGTTGTACTAGTGTATATGAACACACACAGGCACGAATATATAGTAATAATAACAAAGAAAAAAGGTTATCACCTTGAGCGAGGGGGCATGGATAAGCTTCGAGGGATGGCATGGGGGTGGTGGGGATGAAGAGCAGAAAGGGAGAATGAAAGTGATGCAATTCTTTCCATTAAAAACGTACTTTAGAAAGATAGGAAGTAAACCCTCACCAAGAGGGGACATTTCTTCTCTCTGTGGACCCAATGGTAAATTCAATAGAATTTGATGAAGTCTATGAATTGATAGAAATTTTTGAATATGCTTTTTATTGGGAGTAATCATATGAAGATATGAAGGAGCAAATGACAGAAGCTGTTGATAGGACAGCTGACCTGATGAATGATGATATGGATATGTATCATTTGGATACAGGCATGGAAAGAAATTCATGGTCGACATTGCTACATATGTACATCATGAAAGAAGAAGCAGAAAGAATGTAAGAGCCAGAATATTGGGCAGGCCAGCAAATGTTATCTTCTGTGTCTAACCCTGACATTGCAAATGTGAATGTTGCAGCCTCCACTGGGTATGTAAAATACTTGGCCTGTCAGCAGTTAATTATGGGTCAGGAAAGGACTCAAGGGACTCCACCATGAGCTACTGACTTGTGATAAAGTCTGGATGAAGGAGACTTATTGTCTTCAGTTGTTCAATTCCAGTGATCCAGCATGGTCCTCTAGCTCCAAACACATGATCTTTGGCCTCCTTAGGGTTTTTGTGGCTGTAAGGGACACCATGACCATGGAAATATTATAAAGGGAAGCATTTAAGTAGAAATGGTTGACAGTTCAGGGGACTAGTGCACTATGAGCATGGGGAGAAACATGGTGGCATGCAGATAGACACACTGCTAGAGAAGGGGCCAAGAGTTATACATGTGGATCTGAAGAGAGCAGTGGGCCACTGGTCCTGGCTTGAGCTTCTGAAACCATAGCTTCACATGGCACTGGGATAAGAAAACTGGTTTTGGCCACTAGAGGCCTTGTTAATATCCATGGCCTGGATGCTGCCCAGGCTCATAATGGAATCTGTTGTCTGTGCTGTGGCTGGAGGCTGCCTGGATGCTCATGATCTCGCTTCCTATTAGAGGCCATGTTGAAATCAGTGGTCATTGTTACTACTGAATTCCATGTAGATGTTCATGGTTTCTGCTATCACCTAAAGTCCTGGTCGTGTCTGTTGCACATGTTGCCATTGGAAGCTATGTGGATATCTCTGACCCATGGTGCTGCTGAGGGCTATGTTGATGTCCATTGTCTGTACTATCACCAGAAATCATGTGGAAGCCCATGATCCATCATGTCAATGACTGTAAAAGGCAGGGAAGCTTGCTTGGTGGTGGTATTGATAACTGCAGATTCACAGTTAAGAATCAGAGACATAGAAGTCTTCTGTGATAAACTCTCTCTCCTATCCCTCCAAACAACTCCCCATCCTCATACCTCAACCACTCCAAAGAGAAACAGACTAGTAGCTACTGAAGAGAACTCTTAAAAATTGTGATAGGGATCCTGAAGTGTATATCTTCACAACTGATGGCTTTTGGCAGTAGTAGGGATCAGGAGGGACTCAGTTTTCTTTGAGGGGCTGGCCACTGGAATTTGGCCAGGCTCCAGTGTGTACATAGGCAATACAAGTTGGGCTTTTTTTATTTTCTTATTTATTTTGTGAGAGGACACAAGAGAGGCGTTGGACCTGGGAAAACAGGAAAGTGAGTGTGATCAGGGTCTATTATGTAAAACACCCAAAATACCAATAAAATATTATGTTGACAAAAACACACATAATTGTGGAGGTTCACAGAGGATTTCTAGTAAGATCTGAGCTTGCTAAACCTAGCAGGACTGAATTAAGAGATGACTTGACCACATGCGAAGATTGGAAGGTTTGCCGAACTAGGGGGAGGCTTTCTACCCCATCCCTTGGCATTCCTATGAAAAGCTCCTTTGAAGAGACAGAAGGGGCCTGTGGATGTTGATCTAGACCCTCCTCAGACTATCCTGTGTTTCTTTCTGTCTTCTTTTCCCTCTATCTTTCTATCTAAATTTTCCTCATGCCTGGGGAAAAAGTGGGAGTGGGCCTCCCACAGACAGCACCTGAACAGGGACAGGGACTTGGTGAAAGGAGAGTTTGGGCACACCGTGAGAAGCAGTTTGGGCATGTCTGGGGTTGTAGTATAAATTAATGCATGGGTATTCTATTTTCAGGAGTAAAAGTTATGTGGCTCATAGAAATGTCAAAATTCAAAGTGAGGCTGCTTTGAATATTCTCTCTCTCTCTGTTTAGGTTTCTTTCTCAATTTCTATCTATAAATTTAAGTAAAAATATCAGATTACATGTAGGAATATTGTGTAAGTAGAAATTTAGAATAAGAGTAGAATTAGGAATATTGGCTAAGAAGAAATTTAGGGTAAGGTAGAATATAGGAACAGAGTGTAGAAACAACTTAGGGTAAGACAGAAAAGCAACAAGACAGAGGAGCTTCGTTCTTGGGACGCTGAACACAGACTCCTGGGGAAGAATCAGCATCATGAAAAAAACACTATGAGGAAAACAGGCAGAAAAAGATTCCTGTGGACAGCTTAGATTTAAGCCCTGAGTGGCAGGGAAGAATTTTCCCTGAGGTGATGTAGATGAAACAAAAATCTCTGCTCTACTGACATTGTCACTGTATGAAAACCTTGTACCATCAGAATTAGTTTCCTCTTGACCATGAAGCCAAGAACATGGAACAGAAGTTTTGGGAAAAACTTAGTAATCTCTCTAAAAAACTGGAATCTTTCCAGGTGATTCCTTCTCAGATCTCTTGTCTTTCAGCAAGGGCAAACTTAAACTCACCTGGAAGGAACATCTATCAGATTGGGAAAGTCATAGAGAAAAACGAGATATGTAGGAACTTGGAGGAGATGGAGAGGAGGACATCATAATTAGAATATACTGTATAAGAAAAAAATCTATTTTCAATTTAAAACAAAGAGTAAAGGAATATATACAAGTTTCCATAAATTATTATCCGTACAATCAAAACAAAATCCAAAAGCCTCAGCTTTTGATGTAATTTTCCACAGCAGAACACAACATACACAGGTTTTTTAACAAGCTCTGCTTTTTAGCAGGGAATTCAAAGGGAATCAAGGATTCTGCCTATGATTCCCATGAATCTATCCACAACAGAGGACTTTGGTGACATCCCCTGTCCACTCATTGAAACCACATTCCTTGGAAGCATCCAGGGTTTTAGGCAGTCATAGTTGAGGCATGTTGCCAGGGTAACCAGGTCCTTATCTGGCTATAGCAAGAACAGCTCAGGCTTCGTGGATAATGAAGAAGAACTGTTCTGGGAAAAAATAGGAGAAAATGCTGATCCAAACAAATGCTGGGTTTGAGGCCAGTTCATGAAAGAGTTCTTGTTCAGAAATGGAAATCAAGTCCAAC